TCTCTTTTGAAAAAAATTTTTTTTTCAATGTTTTTTATTTATTTTTGGGACAGAGAGAGACAGAGCATGAACGGGGGAGGGGCAGAGAGAGAGGGAGACACAGAATCGGACACAGGCTCCAGGCTCCGAGCCATCAGCCCAGAGCCTGACGCGGGGCTCGAACTCACGGACCGCGAGATCGTGACCTGGCTGAAGTCGGACGCTTAACCGACTGCGCCACCCAGGCGCCCCTTGTTGACTTCTCTTTTGTATGGGTGCTGTCAGTGGCTTTGACTCTGCAGTGGCCAGAAGGTAGTGCTGTGGCCTCTAGACCAGCTTCTGACCCTCCCCTCCGCCAGAACACCAGGTTGGGAAGAGTGGCCTCCCCTGGGGCTTTGCAGCTTTCCTGTGGAAATTAGAAATCCTAATTTCTAGGATTTCCAGGGAGGGACAGGGTGCGGGATACAGGCAGAACTGAGCAGAATCCAGGCCTCACCAGTACTGGAGGGGTTCCATGAAGTTGAGAAGTTGGCTGGGTGGGTTGCTGGAGTCTGGAGCTACAACTTGGAAGGACATCTTAAAGGCACTGACAGATCCTGGCAGGAGAGGAGGGGTGTTTTGTCAGCTACTGGCCAGCATCTGTCTTGCTGAGCTGTTGGAGCCCCCCAAGCCTTCGTGACTCTCTTTGTAAAACATTCACTTCAGAACATCAATTAGTCGACCTAGGCAGCCCCCTGGAGGGGCCTCGTATCCACAGTGTCTTTTTTTTTACTCTGGGTGGAGAGGGATCTGTGTTAGTGCCTCCTGCCTTCTTCCATTTAAATCTTCTTAACGCGGAGGGAAGCTGGAGCACATTGCCTGCCCAGGCCTGGCCTCTGTACCCACTCCTCGCTGTTCAGGGCGGGCACAGTTTGCTCTCACTGGCTCCGTGGTCAGAAAGTACAATGACCCCTGAGAATGGTGCTTTTCAGACTCAAAACAGTTCCCTGCATGCTGTGGGTAGCCGATAGCTGGTTTTGTGGGTCATGATTAGCATTCTAAAAAAACAAAGTAAGTAGCAGGGAGCAGGACAGATAGGCTGAGTATTATGTCATGAAATTTGTTTCAATGCTGTGGGCACTTGTAGTGCCTATGTGGTTAGTGAGCATAAAATCACAACTTAAATAGATGTTTCTTCCTGTAAGTCTTAGTCAAAACAGTTTGGAAAACACTGTCTTGGAATAATAAACTTAGTGATACATAGATTTTTCTTCTGTTTTATTGAATAGCAGTGCCGGTTAGAAACCACTAACCCACATGCTAGTAGTAATGCAGTTAACTTACTGAGCACATTTACATCTTTATCTCAGAATTTTAAGAAAGATAAGGGGAAAAACTTCCATGCAAGATTCCATCCTTTGAAAGGCTCCGTTAAAATAGCAAGTTCCTAGCCTTTGCACAGGGATGTAATTTGCAACAGTTAAGGTAGCCATGTACTTAATCAGGATGGCACACATTGTGCTAAACAGCATCTCCCTGCATTCTCTGTAGCTGGGGAACATGACCTGGAGAGTTCCGCTTCCCTCGAGATTTAAGTCAGAGGCACCAGCAATGCTAGCTAGCATCACCCTCAAGGCCAAGCCTGTCCTCTTTGGGAAAGGAAGCAAGTTTGAACTTGAGAAATGTGAACAGCTTTCCACTGCTGAGTTAGCATGGTTTTGTCCGGAACAGCTATAAATCCAGCAGAACACTAGCTGTTTTCCAGCTCTAAGGCAGCTGCAGAGAGCATTAGACGGCAGACAGAGTGGGTGCAGCATCGAGAGGTGCCAAAATGGACTGCAGGACACCGGAGAAGAAAGTTGTAGTCACAGCAAACTGCACGGAGGACGTGGGCGGATTGACATGGGGCTGCGGTTTGCCTAAGTAGAGGAGCCGGCAGCTTGGACCCAGGTTTTGGAGGGTTGACCTGTGACCCGAGGAGGGGATGGTACCTAGAAGTGCAGGGGTTTTGAGGGGTCACCAGGAAGCTCTCAAGAAATATGTGCTGATTGGGGCGCCTAGGTAGTGCAGTTGGTTAAGCATCCGACTCTGGCTCAGGTCATGATCTCCTCATGGCTTGTGGGTTCGAGCCCTGCATCAAGCTCTGTGCTGACAGCCCATAGCCTGGAGCCTGCTTCTGATTCTGTATCTCCCTCTCTGTCTGTCGTCCCCCGCTCATGCTCACTCTCTCTCTCTTTCTCTCTCTCTCTCTCTCTCAAAAATAAATA